ACAAATTGTTGTCATCTACAATCAGTTGTTGCTGCTTGTGTGGTGGAATATTCACAAATATCAGTATCCTTTTGCAGATTGGGCTCAACATACGGATATTTGAAATAGCTTTGATGTGGCAGCTTTACCACAAGGCAAGCTATTCATGTGGAGCAGCCTACAATGCAGCAATATTTGTGAAGTCTGTCCCCGCCCCACCCCATTTGCAAAACATTTCACCTCTGCACAGAGAAAGCCATAGGGAGGCAGCTGATCCCTGCACCATGGTCTGTGCCACAGAATAGGAAAAATCAGTACAACTGCTCACAGTGTGAGGTTAGTGCCAGGTTAGGTAAACTGGTGAAAAATCTCATGCACAATGCAATTTGAGGCGAGAACTGAGAATAGAAAGTGGGACACAGTTACCTATTAAATGAGGGATGATTATTTCTGGTATGACATCTATTTTCTGCTAAGGTTTTAGTCATGCAGCTCAGGAGGCTGAAGTTCCAACCTCGCTCTTGCTCTTAGGGCAAGAGATATATTACAGCAAAGCAAACTAGACTTTCCTTCACGATGGGGGATGGAAGGACTGCATTTATAAGAACAGCCTCACTTGCCTTGATATACAAGAGGTCACACATCCAAGCCACTTAAGCTTGCCTGGCTGCTATGACTTTTTGAGGTAAACTGTGTGACTTCTCAGCCTCTTTACCTTGGAACATCTTGAGATGATCTGCTGCTCCTCCTTGGGAGATGTCACCATGGGGATATGGCAGAGTGGGTCATAGGCTTCACTCTTTTGCTAGGAAGGAGAGAGAGAGAGAGAGAGAAATACTTCTCTAAACTTTCTATTGTTCATTATTTACAGATTTACTAAACAGATTCATACATCATGCTAAGCCATGAAGTCATCAGGCCCCCTACTTTCTTAGCACAGCCACCCTCACCTGTATTGCAAGCTGACAGTCCTCAACCAAACCTTGGATCAGATAATATCGGGCTTCAGACAACACTTCCTCCAGCTCTCGCTGGGACTCTGGAAGGGATACTGAGCCATCTCGCAAATAATTCAGAATAGTTCCAAAATGGCGGCCACTTCGGTCAATCAAAATCCAACCTGGAAATGCAGAGTTAATTTTAGTCCCTGAGATAAAGATGCTGCACAGTGAAGGGCCTATTTAAGCAATCTCCCCACCCCCCAAATTAAAATTGCTTAGAGGAGAAGATCCAGTTATTATTTGCACTGATACAAGATTGTTTTGATGCTAGAAGAATAAGTTCTTATTTAAATTAGTTTTGGGCTTATAATGTACTTTATCTCAAAAAAGAAAATGTAAATACTCTAGTCCTAACAGAATCTTTTTTATTAGTCCACTAGATGTTATGCCTTGGCAGGTGGCAGTATTTAGTTGACCCTGACTGGGAGTCTGGCCTGGTTAGTATTTGGATGGGACACCTCCAGGAAGTATCAAGCTGGTGGGCTAATCTTGAAAGAAAAAAAAAATGTCCTAGAGGAATGCAGTGGTAAACCACTTCCAGAAAACTATAGATATGTCATGAAGTCCCCAGGACTTGGGCTCAACTTGAGACTATATTTTTAAAGACGTTGCTGTGATTGAGGAAGGAAAGCAGCAAACCTCCCTCCCTCCCCCCCCCATGCTGGAATTAATATTTTATTTATTTAATGATCTTAGAGGCAACATTCAGATAATAAAACAAATACAAAATCCTGACACACTTCAGCTGAACCTGATGAGCTTCATGGTCAAATGGGGACGGATTTGACTCTCCTCAGCCAGTTCAGCAATCTAATGAAAGCACCACACGCAGTCTTACTTAAATAAGTTCAGTCAACAGTAATGGCCTTTCACTGGAACAATAATATTGCTAGAAGACTGTTGTTTTTTTGCCAATGATTATGCTAGCCAGGGATTCTGGGAGCTGTGGTTTAGCACATCTGAAGGACGCCAGCTTGGGGAAGCTGGATAGAAATTGGATAACGGAGATCAGCTCTCTTTCCCTCTTGATAACCATCTGTCATCTCATACCAGTTGCTAATAAGATCAAGAGACTCCCTCTGGAGGCAGCCAGCTGCTCTCAAAATCACTGCTGAAAAGATAACAAATTATTTTGAAGCTATTTATGTTCAGAAAAACAGAAATATTTTGGTGTCCTCTTCTAGACATTTTAAATTTGCTGTCTTTTCATTATGGATTTCCCTAGAACAATGTAGGAACATCAAACAGGTCCAATGAAATAAGATTGCCCACTTAAACCCTGTTCCTACATCTAACTCTAGTGTTAGCTAAAGGAAGAAAGATTTGAATCTTACTGTAAGGGCCTGCAGTGTCATGACTTAAGTAGGTTTCCCTTGAGAAAAGACTCGACTGAACCCCTACAACAAAGAAGGCTTTATTCTATCTTCATAGACCTTAGTCAAAGGAACCAAAAAAGGGGCATCCTATGAAGATCTAAAGACAGCATTTTCCAAATATAAAACTGAAAATATCCACAGAAGCTTCTCAGAGCCTGGGATAAAAGCCAAAACTGTCAAACACAGAGCAGTCTGTGGGGCAAATACACTGCTTTGACTGGTCCAACCTTCCTTTTATATCTGTAGGGACGAGAAACTTCTCTTGTCACTCTAAAGCAAGTCATCCTGAAAGTGTTGAAGGGCTCCCTGGGAACCATATTGGATGGGTCACCAGTGCTATTTCCTTCATGCAGAAAATCTCATATCCACCTGGCTGTGGAACGGATGTGGCAAGCTGGAGCTCATACCTTCACTGTCTGTGAGCACTTCCATTCGGCCACTGAACATTGCCTTGAGCATGGTATCTTGCTTCGTCAGGGTCTGCACGGTGGTATAATGCAGAGACCCGCCCACATTCAGCTTGACATACTTGCTGCTGGGGTTCAGGGGCTTGAGGTCCAAAGTCACCTCGGTTACCCCACCCCTGCCATCCCGTCGTTGCTGGGTTGGGACCAGCGGAGCGCAATTCTCCAGGGATGGGACTTGATCTGTTGTGGCCTCAGCTGACATAGCCACCTACAGAAAAGAGAAACTGAGCAAGGATACCTTCCAACAGCAGATTTCCTGCACTGGGCATTAGTTAAAGCATCTGGAGCCTCTGGACTGTTCTTTCTCTAAAAGGCAGTCATGATCTTTTTTTTTTAGAAGCATGATGCAGCCTTGGAAATCCTCCAAACAACTTTATTTTCAATACTATTTGGCCCAAACATCCCCCTGCAACTCTGCTATTCATTATTATTCCACCCCCGCCCCCCTTTTAATATGAATCCTCTAGGAAGAAAAGCTAGATTCATTCCATAACACAGAATGAATAGTGGCGCAGGAGTGGATACCCTTCAAGCTCATGGGATCTGTTTTGTACTTTACTAAGTGAAGCCAGATATGAAGTAATCACTTTAGCACAAGAACAATTGCCAAGAGTTCATAAACAGAACACTGGGGTGACACAGAATACTAAGCCATATAGTGGCTTGTTTGTTTGATCCTGGGTAAACCCAACCAAGTGATGCTTAGTCGCCACATTCAAACAACCCAAGGCAAAGCAGAAATGTACTTACCCAGAATTTCCCTGAACATATGTTCAAACGAGGAATTTATGATCAATACCAGAACCCAACCCATCAATCCTTTCACACATAAACCCCAGTCTGGCTCTCCCCCCAAGCTTTCTCCCCAGCAACCTAACTGAAAGGAAATGCCTTTAAGTTTCAAGGGTGTTTGGACCACCTTCCCACCGAAGCTGTTGCTCTCCAGAGGTGCTGGCACTGAATGGCCACAGTCCACCCAGCTATACTGGTTGTCAGACATTACAGGAGTTGAAGTCCAAGACGTCTGGATAGTACCAACTTGGGGGGAGGTTAGAAGATGGGGTGTACCCAGAGATCTCCTAACACATCCCAACCTACCTTCTGCCTTCTACTTCAGTGTAACACCCAGCACACCTGGCACTGCTAATAGGAAGCAATGTGTTTGCCTTCACCTTTGTGCTGGCTGGTCTTTGCTCCAATAAACACTCCTGCCCAGTGGGATCATTTCCTCCTACAGCCCGGCTCCACCCTGCTGCCCCAGCCCATCCCTTGTGCCTCTCTAGATGTTACTGTATTTCTTTATTTTCCTGCCTGCCCACCTTCCAGACTGTCTATTCCCTCTTGCATTATTATATTATTATTATTATTATTATTATTATTATTATTATTATTACTATTAATTACGTTTGCTAACTGCTCTGGGATCTTGGAGTGTGCATGCATGTGAGAAAGGCAGAATATTAATATATAACGGAAGTGACAGCATCATCTATGAACAAGTCACCTTTCCAAGTCTCTTCCCACACCCCTATTTGAAGCCCCGGGCCTTCTGAGCGCGAGGGTCTCCCTTCTACCACCCCCTTTCCCTGCATTTTCGCCCCACAACAGCTTGTCTCTCCCGCGGCGGCTTCCTTCCCACTCAGGGCGATAGATCTGGGTGCAAGTCCCCGGGCCACCAGTGGATGGCAGCAATCACTCGGGGTGTTCTATGCCCCTTTGCTGCCATGTAGTGGTAGTTCTGGTTTCTGCAGTCCAGCTCCGGCATCCTATGCCCGCCGCCCTCCGACCTCGCCCACCCATCATCACATCCACTCACCTCCCCCAGGGGAGCAGGGTGGGCTCAAGCCAGGCCCCTCCCCTTCAGCCCCCCCTGGACTCTGGGGCAGCAGCTCCCCAGGATACCTCAACCCAAGAGAAAGAGGAACGGAGGGTGACAGTGCGCATGCTCCCAAGCGCCCCGTCGCGGCCTCGACCGATGGAACAGTTAGTCTGTACATCCGGGTACCCGCGCACTTAAACGAGGCAGAGGCGGATTGACTTTCTCTACTTCTCGCTGCCGCGGGTGGCTATCAAGCTGCGCCTGCGCAGAAAGTGAAATCGCGTCCGCAGTGAAGGGTCAAAGAAAGGGAGTGAAGGAAGACTAAGTCAATCGAGGCTGCTGGGGGGCGCATGCGCTCGCCGCGGCCGTGAGGTGCACGTAGTAGGGTCGTGATGAGCGGGGTGAGGAGGCCTCAGGCACCTCCTCTGCGCATCCAGACGGTGGCCTTCGCTCCTCCGTTTGCGGGAGGAAGGGCCCGTGTCCATTGAGGTCTGTCCTCCGCCCAAACGGCCTTGTGCCTTTTCAGATTTGTGAAGGACCAGGACCGACCACGAGGCAACATGGGAGAGGGTGCCTAACTCTGACCCAAGCCTGGCTTTATGTGTTTTGTGAAGCTAAAGGTCAACATATGAGTACAAATTGTTATTTGTACACAGCTTCTGGTTTCGCTTGCTGGCTTTGCTAGATTATGGCTGGGGTCACACAGAATGAGTTTAGTAATCTGTGGGGTCATTACATTTTGAGATGCCTAACTCTTGTCTGCATGTTGTGTGATCCAGACCACGGAAGCTTTTAAGTACAGTATGTTGTATGAACACATTTTCTTGGTTAATACAGAGTTAACATGTTGTGTAAAGCCAGTCATTTAGGCTGAGCATAAGAGATTGCTGTACAACATGAACATGGGATGTTCCAGTCAAGAAAATATTCCTTGGAAGCAGTTCCCAGAGCTCGTTATTCAGGGCTACAAACAGAGAAAACTATTGTGACATTTTAAAGAACTTTTGTTGATTTACAGTCCACTTGATGTGTGAATTATCCTGAGAAACAAACATTTGTGTATCTTTTTTAAGATGCCACGAGACTTGATTGTACAACATGGTACAGTAAATGTGCTTGTAAAACTACCAAGAAAACTATAGATGTAGTCAGCAGGAGTCAGGTTCAAACAGGGGGTTTCCCATGTTTTTAACCTTTGTTTTTTGGGGCTTGCCATGGTATTATAAACCACTACTACATAGTTATGTGCATGTTGCACAAATCTAGAAAATTCAGGTTTAGCAAATCCTGATTAAGCTTACTGTACCAGGATTAAATATACTGAGGTTAAACATCTTGTATAAACACAATCACTTATTTCCATTAAGGACAGTTGGAGCTATCCACCAGTACAGGAGGAAATAATTTAAATATTTTTAAATATTAAATTTAAATTATTTAAGTTATTTTTATGGCACTATTTTCAGTGTGCATTGGTAAGCTAAGACAGTCAGTTTGGTGTTGTGGTTAAAGCACCAGGCTAGAAACCAGGAGACTGATCTAGTCCCACCTTAGGCACGAAGCCAGCTGGGAGAACTTGGGCCAGTCACTCTCTCTCAGCCCTAGGAAGCAAGCAAGGGCAAACCACTTCTGAAAATCTTGCCAAGAAAACTGCAGGGACTAGGCCAGGTAGTCGCCAGCAGTCAAGAGTGACTTGAAGGCATGCACATATGCACAAATAAGTAAGATAACATCTTTATTTTCAGGAAGGTTGGAAAATGATTGTAATCATAGTTGGATAGTAATTTATGCACAGGATGTCTGTTAACTTGAAGTATGGCATATAGTAAAGGTCATAGGAGGGTCAGCCTTTACTTTGGTTGGAAATAGCAGGGCAAGATATTGGGAAGTGATTACAGTAATTCATAAAATTGAAGGAATGGGTTTTGGGGGTTATAGACCAGATTTTTTAGAAACCAAGATGTAGGATGTAAGGAGAAATGGGGTGGCAGAAAGAAATAAAAAAATTATGTGTTCTCCCTCTGCCACTTCTGGTCCTGCCCTCAGTAGATTATAAGTAAAAATATATACTCTGAACAGAAAAATGTTTCCTTGTTCCTGAATTTAAAGATGAGTAATATGCTGGAGGAACACTCACGTAAGAACATCAACCCTACTGGATTAGGTCAAAGGCCAATATAATTCCTGCAACAAACAAGAAAATGCTTTTGAGAAGCTCAAAGCAGGTCAGGAGCAATAACAGGCTTCCCTTTGAGTTCCCTGACAGCTGATCTACTGCCTCTGTTAGGAACATTTGTAGCTGTCATTATAAATTAATGATTCCTGCTTCTCTAGCAT